TAAGACAATTAAAACAAATTGGAATCTATTATTCCTTAAGTTCCGAAAATAAGTCCTACTAATAAGTTTCTTACAAGAGTTGCAAAAGCAGTGGCCACAGTCCATTTTGGTCAAATCTTCTGAGGGCACTTCATCCATGCAGATGTTACACATTACTGTGGAGGAAGTTTCAGGTGGATCAAGGTCGTTAAGTTCAACCCCGGTCACACCAGCTTCTGATAACATGCAAGATTTCCCTTTATCGACGTAAACTTCACTCAGTTTGTCAACGTCCCACCTGTAATGGATCAGAAGGGTCCGGGCGTGGTGTTCCCTCACTGATAGCAAATCCATTACCCTTCGCAAATCTTCCCTCTGCAAGGATCATAGAACCATAACCTTCGATTGAATTATGCACAATGCCTGGGGGCTAAGGTTTTCAATCAGCCAACCGAACCAAATTATTAGTTAACTGAAAGTTAGTATGCTTAAAATAGTAATCTGAGAACTAAGCCCAATTAATCCGTTCAGTTCAAGGTAAAACCAACCTTCTTGAAATAATTTCTGAAACTATGCTCAAATGACTAATCAAACCGAACAGAATAGAGATAAATAAAACTGAAAGGTGGCAATTTTCTGGGAATCCATCATCATGATCTCAGATTTCTCCAATGTGTTCATTTTTATAAATGGCAAGAGGCGAAGACAAATTCGGCAGAGACCAAAAAAAAAAGTCGCTTAACGAGGGCATATTATCCACATTCAAGAAAGATGTCCACAATTACAACAAGAAATCTTCGATTACCTGAGCAGCCAACAGAGACTCTTTTGTAATTATCTGCAAACAGCACAAACCATCACCAAATTTGTACTCAGTAAACAAAAGACGCCAAATTGAAACTCAATTAAGGACTAACCATAAACCACATATAAATTAAATAAACGAACAAATCGTAAAACCAAACCAGATCATCAAAATAACTTAACAAGATTACACGAAAACAAGGTAACCCCTCATAATCATCAAACCCCAACAAACAAGCCAAAGAACGGAAGGCAACACCAGTATTCAAGGGCATTGAATAGCATCAAACAGATACTGCAGAAACTAGCACAAACAGCCCACAGCGCGCACATACCTTTGAAGACGGGGCTTTGGACTGGGCCCACCGATCGTCGGACTCATCGTTTTCGAGCCCGTCGAGCGACTCCGCCTCTTGATCGGACCCATAGTAATCCTCCTCCTCCTCGCTGCCGCCACTCATGTAATAATCATCATCACCCATGATTCGATTACTGTAGCCGACTACAATCCCACACTACAAAGATGACTTCATGCAGAAATTCAGACGAAACGAGCTACGATCGGCGCTTTTTCCGGGCGAAGGAGATCTGATCTCGGAGGATCAATAGGATGCAGCTTTCCCGGTAAAATTCCGGCGATTACAGAGAGAGAAAGCAGACGTTTGCAGAAAGATTATGGGGAGGGTTTTCGTGCGGTGGGGCGAGCTGCTTTATTCATTGAATACAGTGCTAAATACGGCGTCGTTTTATGTAACTGTATAGCGTGAGGTTTCCGTTAATACGGCGTCGTCTTGCGGCAATTGTGTCGAGGAAGGTTTCTTTGAATACGGCGTCGTTATGAACCATTTTTGTTATTTTTTTCCCTTCCCTGTTCCCATTATACTAAACTAGTGCGTACCCCGTACGATGCACGGGTAAACAATATTAAATAACAATTATAAATGGGTTTCGAGTTCGAGTCACGTAAGTGAGGAATCACTATTGATACTTTTTTTAAAAAGAATTATGATGTCACGTGTCAAAATTTGAATACGCAAGGTTTCAAAAATTATTATTATTATTATTATTATTATTATTATTATTATTACACTGAGTAATCCGTGCTATGCACGGCTATAATAATTATGGAATTTATATATTTATTTATTTTTATATAGCGAAGCCTGTCTATTTTGTTTTTTTTTTAAAAAAAAATTGAAGCTCAATTATGTTCAACAATATAATGTACTCAACTAAACTGGTCGGGTCAAACTAAACGGGCCAATAACATATTATTGAATTGACCCAAATAAAGCCCAACCATGAAAGCAGACCGAATCATTAAGTGCGACCCAACATCTCAACCCGTTATGGCTTAAAAGAATTGATCAGACGGTCTGAATTAGTCAACCGATATCGAACGGTCAGAAATCAAAGATGTCATCTAAAAAAGTTAAAAATATCCAAATTATTAGGGTTATGTCATTACTTCTCCTCCTCCCACCGCTTTCCTCCTCTATTCTCTCTCTTATATCACTTATAGAAACTTAATAAAATATTCTTTCAAATTTTCACAAAAATGCTCAATTTTTTAAAAAATCAATCGCATCTATTGCGAGTCGATTTCTTATGTTAGATAGATCGATATTATATCTTGTCTTTATGTTTAGAAAGATGCCTCTATTATTTTATTTCTTTTGATAGTCATATTTTTTTGTGTATTATAAGATTTTATGTTTGTTTTTTGGTCGAAACCGATGAAAAACTGACTCTGTTATTACTATTTCGACCATTTCAAAAACTTTTCTTTTGAATATCGAGACTTATGTAATGTGTTGTTCAATTATTTTGATTCATATTGCTTTTTTTGTTTTTTGTAGATTTTAGAAATTTCGTAAGTTTAAAGACGGATCTGGAACAATTTTTCAATTTTCGGTCGAAATCCGAATTTTATTCAGTCGAAAAAAATGAACACCGGAAATGAAGTCTCATTTTCTATTTGAATGTCTATTTGTTTTAAAAAATGTTACAAATCTTAGTCGGTTATATAAATTTTGACTGTATTTTGAAATTTAATTTAAAATAAGGATCTTAATCTCTAAAAATGTGTTCAAATCTTTTGTGATTAAACAAATCCCACATTTTAAGGGCATCATTTAATGCTACCCGATTTTTTTGTAAGAAAAAAAAAAGTTGCCAAAAGTGGCATGTAATTAATGCATATAAGATTTTGACCAAAATTTGACTTACTATTTTTGAAAAATGTTAATTCTTATTATATATATATAGATGCGCATCCCGTGCAATGCACAGACGGGTTTGTTACTTAAATATTTTTAAAAATTTTATTTTAAACATAATTATATATATATCTAACATCTCATTATTGCAAGAAAGAAATACAAAATATAATTATACACGTTTATTAATATATTTAAAATATAATTTTAAATTTAAAAATCTAATACAAAATTTAGATTATATCACATAAGAAAAAAATAATTATACATGTTTATTAATATATTTAAAATATAATTTTAAATTTCAAATAAAGTAAAATGCGGGATAACTCATATTTGTTATAGAAAATTTCTAAAATGTTTATTAGTATTTTGGTAACTATATCTATAAGAATAATCGTACAATTTTAATTTCTAAAAATTTGGTAAGTTTGTTAATGAGATAAATTCTGCTAGATAAATGATTAATTATTTAAAAAATTTGTATTAGATTAAATTAAAACATTTTTTATTTTATTTATTAAAAAATATTTTGTATTAAATTAACCTTTTGATTACATTAATTTTATATTTAAAATTTATTTTTTGTATTCGAAAATATTTTCTGTCAAACCATAAAATTTTGAAGATATCGATCTCCATAAAATCATAAGATAAATATGCACTATTTATTTTATTATGGTAAAGGATAATCACACCAAATTAAAAATTAAAAATGAATACTCATTATTGTTTAAGATATTGAATTTACAAAAGAGGAAGAAGAAAAGAAACAAAACTAATATTAATTGTTTGTTGCATTATTCAAAAATGATGTTTATGGGATTATATGTGGATAAGTTGGGATAAATATCAATCAATTTTCTATAGGATAAATACAAACATTAGAAATATTTTTAGGTTAGATAAATATGGGCATAACAAACTTTTAAAACTTGTAATTGATTTATATTTTTTTTTTCAAACGTTTTTCTTAATTTAGTGGATATGGCCAAATTTACATACATACACGTTTTTTCTCATGAAGAAAAAGTGGTTAAAATATCAATTAAATAACTTGCTTATATGTATGATAAAATACCAAATAACCAAAACATTTTAATTTATATCATTTTCATAATAAGGACATATGTTGAGTTTTGGCTTTTAATTACAAAAAATACTTTAATTAATAACTCATAGCGAAAATAATTATATAAAATTGGTTTTTGCTTTCAAACAAATGTATTGATCCAAATAAGTAAACTAGTTCATATAATTTACCGGATCAGCAGAAAAAGTGAGAAAGAGGTAACAACAGTAGGTAAATGACATTTCCCCAAAATAACAACACACAACATTACAAGTTGTTGCCAAGTTTACAGTTCATCTCCACCATTTTCAAGCCACAAGCTTCCAGCTTGAAGCACACCAACAGTGAAGTACATTTTCATCAAATTACGCTCACGAAAATCCAAATCCAAAGCATGAATAGACAAAGCATTAACGGATTCAAAATTGGGAGGGTATGGCAAACTGTAAGATAAAAAAACAATCAGTAATGATATATGGCATAAAGTATTCAAAAGCAAAACGGGCAAGTTATAGAAAAACGGCTAATAACAAGCGAAAAATTATGATTCATAAGGCTTCATTACTTTTACCAAACCTTGATTGTTAGATCTTGAAAGAAAAACCGCCAAAAGTAGGGTTAAAAGAAAGGTTAGAGGACTAAAATCGAGGACTTGCAAATTTTTTACCTTTAGCATAAAACTTCACATGTTGTCAAGATCTACACGAAATAAAAAGTCCTCGTTATCTAACTCCTCATGCAAAATGGATACAGATGGCACGTTAACCTTTTTGTCATTATAATCTGAGATATCTGATGATCGTTCTCCCTGCAAGATTCTACCTGTTAGCATCCATGCACTTAACCGATCTATTTTTCTTAATAATTATTTTTAATGATTTTTTAATGCTACAGAAAAATTTCGAGTTAAGGGTCATATAACAGAAGCTGACCTTCTTTAAAATATAGAAGAAATAATGGAATCCTTCGCCAAATGTCTTCCATTCGAACGACCATGTAAAGGCGGGAGCATTGAAAAATCGACGCCTGAAATGAGGCTGAAAATGATTGTCCATCATATAAGCACTTTTGGATATATATCTACACATATATATGTGTATGTGAGTAGGTATCCGAGTGAGGGTCAATCTTAGGCTGTGTATTGGTAAGCATATAAGCTAGCTTATAGTTTGGTAGGCCGAACTTTTAAAAAAAAAACTCAAACTTATCTCATAAGCTTCATAAGATAGCTTTTCAAATAAATTCATTGAATTTTTTTCAGCTAATTTTACCAAACACTTTTATTATATAAGCTAGCTTTTCAGCCATAACTCATAAGTTATCAGCTATAAGGTCGAAATTTACTTAAAAACCATAAGCTAACTTATCAGCTAAGTTTACCAAACAAAGCCTTAGTTTTTTTTTTGTGTGTGTGTGTGTGTGTGTGCGTACCTGGCCAAAGGCTATCGATATGAAAACACCATGGGGTTTCAAAACTCTATGAACATTTTCAAGCATAGCCGTAACTTTGCTAACTGTCATAGGTTCAGGATTCCAAGGATCTCCAGAGTCGACAAAAAGCACGTCCTTCATGTTCCAAATGAATAAAGAAAACAAAAAGAAAAATGCATACGCTTCAGTAACAAACATCAAATGCATCCAATAACAGTTTTTTTGGATACCATTTTTTTCATTTAAGGGAAATTTAGACTGAAGGGGCAGAGAAATATTGGTTATTTTTATTTACATACGAATTTCAAATCAAGCATATAACTGAGATTAGTCAATCCATTATTAACATCCGAATAAACCTAGGAATGTTCAAGTGCGTACTTTATACACTTTACCATGGTTCCCTTCTCAATGACCACATCAAAACGCTCATCCCCAAAAGGCAGGTCTAACATGTTGGCTTCAAGAACTTTAATATCTAGAAATAGCAATATCAGGAACAAAAAAAACGTGAAAAGGGATAATAATAATAATTTCAAAGATTATAGCTGATGTTTATCATATACAGATTCTTCTTGAAATGATCATCAATATGCAAAATTTTGAGTACTTCACCAGTTAAATCTGGTCATTTATGAACTTCACAACACCACAATATAAACACAAATCAAGAAATCAGCAACCTTTAAACCCTTTGGAAACTAATCTTTGCTTCATCTTCTCAACAGCAACTGGCGACAAATCAACACACGTAAGATCAGCGATTCCATCTCTATACAGTTCTTCACACAGCTGAGAGCTTCCACAGCCAAGCTCCAATACCTATTGGACCAAAAGACTACGTTCATAAAAATACACACATTCAATTTGATTTAACACCCAAAACACAGTCAAGAGAATGAACAGATATTTACAGCAGAGTTGGATTTAATGTACTGAAGAATAAGGTGACGAAAATGAGAATAGTCCTTCAACCATTCGTAATGCTCTTCTTTAGCAAACCTCCGGTCCCTAAAAGTTCAAATTTTATCCCGAAAATGGAGATATTCAGTTCAAATGGCATGAGAAATAAACAAGGGAGAGAGAGATGAGAGAAAACTAGGGTTTTAGCGCCCGACCAGTAGTTGGGTTCGAGGTATTCGGAGACGGTGGCCGGAGCGACGTCGGATTTCGGGGCCTCCGGTGGATCCATATATTTCAAATTGGGGATTTTCGCAGCTGATTTCTGAAAATTAGGGCGCAGAGGGTATTGAATTTTGATAAAACCCTAATTTAACTGAAAGTGATTTTCCATTGTTTTCCTTTCATGCCCAAATCTTTTGTTAATAACTAAAAGGTACATATAGTTACTTAAATAATTCAACTTGTAGCCAAATTTGGGCAAAATGTCAAATTCACATTTTTTCCCTACTCGTATATGTTTATCTAACTTTACACTTTCATACAAACTAGTACAGAGCCCGTGCGATGCACGGGGTGCACAATTTTAAGGCTATTTATCCAGGCTTATAATTATATACATGAATAAAGAAAAATGTACGGGATATATATAGTACGTGCGAAGCACGAGATATATTTATTTGGATAATATTATATTATAAGATGCAATATTCAATAAAAGTTTATAGTACGCAAGAAATTGTACAATGTTCAATAAAAGTTATATAATATTCAAGTGGAGTCTTAAAGTCTCTTGTACATTAAGACTACTGACAAAATAATATTTTAATCAATGAGTTTCTTTTCCTTGTAGCCAAATTGTAAATGTGATTAGAGGAGTACAACAAATCGATATATAGCTGACTTGCTTTTTTCATTGTAGTTTTTTTTTTTTTTTTTTTTTTATAATGAATTTAAAGATATTCTAAAATATAGCAAAAATTAATTCTTTTATTACAATTAAGAATTTTACTAAATATAAACTCTCAATCTATGGTGTTAATCAACGTTTAAGTTTAAAAAATTTAGAATTTTTACATCTTTTAATTAACGTTTAAGTTTAAAAAGCAATAGAGTTATTATAAGTTTTTTTTCTACATCTTTTAGAACATTAAATATGAGCATGTTAGGGCTAGCTTGTAAAATAATTAATATATTATCTCACTAAAACATTTATATTATTAAAAATTTAATTTTACATATAAATTTATCCCTTGATATAAGAGAAAATAACAGTTTTACTTATTGTTGTTCACCATATAATATTTAATTATTATTTTATTATATAATAAAAAAGGAATACTGTTAAATAGTGTAGTAGAATTGTTATAAAATTATATGAATTTTTTTTTTACAATATGGATTTAATATTTTTTTATGATTTGATAATATAAACAAATCTATACTTAACTTTGACAAATAAAACAAATAAATACTTTAGTAAGTATTTAATGTATATACTAAATAGGAATATATTTGGTATAATCAAATACCAAATATAATCAAATAAGTCAAAGTGTACATTTTTATTTGGTATTTGATTTTTTTATTATTAAAATCTTTTTATTATACTTACCTTAATAAAAATAAAACAAATAAATAAAATATTATAATACCAAAATAGTAATGACATTTAATACAGTTGACTTTTCTGGATAGTAAATGTAGTAAATATAATATCCTTTTATATAGTATAATACGGAAATAGTAATGCAATAAATGCTATTGACTTTTCTGACTATTTAATTTGGTAAATAGTACCCCTTTAATATAAGTATAGATTCTCATTTCACTTTATATAATTTCATACAAATCACAAATCCTTGTGTGGGCCGGCTTTACCTATTGTTCCTCATATTTCATATTTCATTAACAAAAATGTGTACTTATGAAATATCACTTTATTATTTATGTTATGTCATATTCAAGCCCCATTTCCTTTTTTTTAAACCTTAATGAGATATTATCATCACCCGGATTAGTCAGATTGTTTGTAAACTCTATTCAAAAAATAAAAAAAAAAAAGAAAAAAAAAACTTTCTGCAAGAATCAAGATACATACATATCAGCTAAGAAGTAAGAACAGTAGAAGTGAGAAAAGTCTTCATGTATTTAGAAAAACAAAATAGATTTTTGTCTTTAAACAACAAAAAATTATCAGTTTATCACACACATTGTACTCACCAAAAAAACTCCTCAAACTATGAACAAAAGCTTCAAAAATTCGACACAATGCACAAAGATTCAACATCCCGAAACTTTTCATTTTGCGCTTTAGAGCTTCCTAAGAGAAGTCATAGGAGAACTCGGCAGCTTAATATCTTCATATCTGCTCGTAAAAAACGAACACACATTATTTTACTAATAGTCCAGCTTCTTTTTTCCAAAAAACAATAATAATAATTCATTTTGTTTTTGGAAGATTTAGATCGTACGGCACAAATGTAGGGGAATTAGATTTAGATTCTGTTTGGCGCTTAATATTTTGGCACACTAGGTGATGGTGATGAAGGCGGCTTGAGATCCTCGTATCTGAGAAACAAAAATTAAATAAAAATTCATAACCGAAA